ACGCTTCATGGCCCCCCTGGTAAAAAAAAAAAAAAATCTCACGAATTAGGCCCCCCCCCCACAAACAAAAAATTGTGCTCTTACCCCCCCCCCCCCCCCGCTTATTCACCGGCTGGCTGAGTCGCAACAAATATGTTCCCACGGATTTGGCCCCCATCCCCCCTCTTGCCGCCAGCTCGATCCGCCACTGGTTTAAGCAAATGGCAAAATAAAGCAAGTAGCCATCCAAATGCTAATGAACATGTGCATCTGTAAAACATTCCCTGGTTCAACAATGAAAAAAAGAATAAAGAGAAACAATGAGAAGGATTGAGCTCTGGATGTCAACTGTAGTCTCTGGAATGCATTTTTTCTTTACAAGCTATAAGTCAATATAGCTCTCCTTTCCACACAAGATCGTTGATCAGCTATATACCACCTCCAATGCTAATCAGCATATTTGAATGGCCAGATGCCCCATTTTTGAAATTTTCTTTCAGTGACTCATGTAGTGTTAAATGGCTATGCAGCTATGCTCAATCATGCATGAATGGTATTTTTTTTCTCTTCATTTTGCATAATTTTCGGATTAATCTATATGTTTAATTTGGTATATAATTATGAAAAATATGTTTATATTAAATAGTGGTTTGAAAATCCTAACTGTAAAATAGTGTACACCTTTTTTTTCTGACTGAGTGTATATTTTAACTAGTATCTGTTAAACATTATCCTCAATGCAATTGTGTAATGTGTCGTCATCGGCACCCACGTAATTTTGTGTTTCAGATTTTAACAAATATCTTGGCAGTACGAGGGGGTGTTAAGATTTTTGAGGTATATTATTGGTTTAAAAAAAAATAATATCAAAACAACGATGTTGTCATCAAGAAAAGGAAATCATCAGATAGTAGTATATTTTCTAAATTCTATTTTTATAAGTCAAAGGAAGTATTTGCGCGTTGAAGTATACAAACATACCATTGTTGTTACCTTAATTTACATCCATACAAAGGGGTGAGGATGGTGCATATTGTCATCATTTTTTTAAATCTTGCTTAAGCGACATAATATACATATCTTTTCTCCAGTTTTCTGTATGTAATTTAACACCTTCAAACATAAAGGACGTTGGTTTGAGTGTCCGACTGATATTACAGGTGTAGTTTAATATTATTAGCATTATGATTCGGAAAAACAGAGGCGTCTGTATAATATTAGCTTATTTGAACAGGTGTGAAACAAATTCCTTTCCAACATGGGTAATATTGATCACAATATTATTATGGGAGAGAGAGAGGAAGAGATGGACGGGATGGGGGGAGAGACAGAGGGAGCGAGACAGAGAGAGAGAGAGAGAGAAAGAGAAGGAGAGAGGGAGGAAGGGAGAGAGGGAGGAAGGGGGAGAGGGAGAGGCGGAGATCGTGAATGGGGGGGGGGGGGGTGAGAGGGAGAGAGAGAGAGTATGTATGTTCGTGTGTGTGTATGTGTGTGTGTGTGTGTGTGTGAGAGAGAGAGACAGAGAGAGAGACAGAGAGAGCGTGCGAGAGAGAGAGAGAGAGAGAGAGAGAGAGAGATAGTTTGGTGAATTGGAGATAGATAATGTCGAGGCCCCCCCCCCCCCCACCTCCATTCACTCCCTGCTCCACCCCCTCATCGCTGCTGCGTGGCAATAGTACGACCGTGTATTATTTTTCCTGTGAATGGCTATTGATTTTGGCTATGTTCCAATTGCATGTTCGCATTGTTCTTGTCATTTGAAAATCACGGAAACAACACAAACAGTGATAATAATTACATGAAGTAGATTTGGAGGGGGGGGGGGAGGGGGGAGGGGGGCAGTCAGCGTTGGGTCTCTGGACCAATCCCACATCATGATCGACGCGACATGAGACGTGTCACAACATTTACTAAATAAATAAATGTTATACATTAATTTTATATCCAACTTGCTTGTAAAGATTAAGTTTTTCTCAGTATCTATTTTTGTGTTCAATAATAAAACAGAAACCATCGCTTTAATATTGAATTCCAGACCAGGATAAAGCGGGCCGGGGAACTTGTGCGTGTGTATGGAAGGGGGTGGGGGGGGGGGGTTATTACGTAACCACTATCTACTCATTTACAACATAACAACTCCCTTGGCTTTTTAATGCATTAAACATTTAATAGTACAGGCATTTCAGAACGTACATTAATTTAGTTCTCCCCCACTAGATCAGGATAGTCGGATAATGTTATAACCTAAGTATTGCCAAAGTATTGCCAATGAGAGTGTGCGCTGTTCCCGCCCCCCCCCCCCCCCCCACTCCGTGGTCAAAATGACCGCATGCGTGTTACCAAAATGTCCGGTAAAGGGGTACTTTTCGTGCGACAAAGTCCGGCCCGAGAATTGTAAAAAAAAGGGGTGTATTTGACTTTTCACCCGGAGATTTCTTTAAAAAGGGGGTGTTTTTTCTTTTTTTCTCTCATCTCTTTGGACTCCTGAGAAATTATTCCGAATTTAGGGGGGTACATTGAGCATTTTTCCGAATTTAGAGGGGTCTCCAAGGCAGGAAAAGCCCGCGAAAGGGGGTTCGGAAATGTTGGCAGTCCTCAGACAGGGGGTGCTTTCAAAAAGAGGGAACGAGCATACGCGTACCCGAAATAAAAATTTACCGGTGCTCCCGGTAAAATTTGATAAATTTCAAATAGCGCCTACGGCCGTACCATGGTAGCTGCGACCATGAAAATCTCAGAATATGTAGTTGTGACATATAATTTCCGAACGGGAACAACTAATCGGTAGATTTTACTCAAGAAACATTTGTTTTATAGCTTAATTTATATCTTGGCCTTAAGATGGAGCTATACAACATACAGAGTTTATTATTTATAATTTCATAACTTTAGACTCGATTTCATCCGCGACAACGATCACTGAATATTGTGTGCCCGCATATGCGTCCAATATGTTCATTTGAACCAAATTCATGACCCCATACCAAAACTTTGTATTACCTTTAATATCATGTAAGATTTTGCGACAAGGAGATAGTATGAAAACATATCAGATTACGGAAGCAAAGAATACCGGGTACACAGTGATATAGACGGAGGCTTGCGATGCAGACATTGCCCCTGCCCCCTCCCCCCCCCCATCATTTTGCAGGTCGAGGGATCGGGGAGGGGGAGGTGGAGAGATAGAGATAGAATAAAGGGGAAAGGTGGTGATACGATTCCCACGTCTGGACAAACGCCATCACGCCTCTCTCCGCAAGTGTTTGCCCACAGCCACTAAGTACGATTAATAAAATGATTATGTTTACTCTTAATAATAATAATAATAATAATAATAATAGGCATTTCTATAGCACCATCTATCTAGATAATTCTATTCCGAGGCACATTTATTATTACCCGGCTTTAGCCTAGCTGCCGTTTATACAGCGCTCCAGCATTTCAAGGAATTCCTGCCAGGTACCCATTTACATCACCTGGGTTGAGTGTGGCAAATGTAGATCAGTCTTGCCAAAGGACATTAGTGCCGCGGCGGGACTCGAACCGCGGTCCTTGCGATCGACAGTCTTCTATTAAGTTATTTATTCATTCATATTCCACATATGATTAAGACAAATATTTACATTGACTTGAGAAAAGAATACAGAGCATAAACACTTATTATTGTTGTACTGGGGGGAGGGGGGGGGGGGGAGGGGGTTAGTGGCTAATTCACGCCGCCAAACGACCGTGTCTCATGAATGAATAAAGTCGTTACGTTTTGTCTTGTTACTTCAAGGAGATTCTAGAATCTTCTTGGTTAATCGAATCAGGATTAGAAACTGAATGGGTGGGTCGAAATGCTAATAAAAGATTTTCCCGACTTGTGTAACTTTCCTCAATTATTGCAAGATGTGATGTAGGATTTTATGCCGCGCAATCCAACCCGACTTTCATTTTATATACAATTAAGAATCTCATTGTCTAATGATTTAATGCCGACATCAGTTGCATTTTGTTTCGGTCTTTGAATTGAAATGAATTGAGATGGTCTCTTCGGCGCAGATTCGCAGTCATAAAAACTGAAATGGGATTTTCAGATCGAAAAAAAACCCCACACCATACAGAATAGTAGTGATTGTATACGGAATAAAGCGATAGATTGAACAGAATTTTATCTGATTTAGATTAAATACAGTATGAGAGTCTTTGGCTGAATACATTGATACGGGAATTCATATGAAAAATGTCAATGTAAATAAAGTTAGAATTAATTTATTGACCGAGTGTTTGTGATTTATATTGAGAGAAAATAACACCAGTAACGAACAATTTTCATCAAAATTTGAAGATTAAAAGAGGTAAAGACGTCAGGATCAGATTACTGAAGCATTTAAAACAAAGTGAAGAACATTTCCCCCTTTCCATTTTTGCAAGGAAAAGGGGAAACAAAGAATAAGTAATAGGCTATATACACAAAGAAAAGAAAATCGTTAACGAAAAAAAAGGAACTTATGTATTGATAAAAAATCCTGCAATCAAAATAATCACATAATATTGTAACAAGGATAGTGACCTTGTATGAAAAAGAAAACCTAAAAAATGAAGTCGTAAATGTATAGCCTATAATTATAGCTATATAGTTTAAATTAAAAAAAAACACAGGTTCTTTAGAAGTCCGGTATATACCGAGATGTTGTGTATCCGGACAGCAATATGAGGAAGTATACATGCCCAATTTCATTAATCTAGACTTCTTAGACAATATTATACTTTTCGTGAAATCCAAAGACAAAGGTGACGGCTTTATTTTTGTTTAGCAACCAGACACACGGCGATCCCCATCCATTCGACAAGGAAAAGCCGGAGATCGAAAGCCAAGACGGAAGGACAAAAATCTAAAAACACACCCATGTCTGTTTCCCGGACCCAAAATATAATGCACCCAATTCCAAGCACTGCTTTGTGAATGGGCAAGGCCGCTATCGGAAAAGAATAGCTGAGCATTTTATGCTAATCATCTCAACTCCAAATTTGACATTAGAGGAATTTCAAGATGGCCGGAGTTGAGTGAAACACAACATCACATTGTTGTAGCAAGGATAACCGGCCAAAGCGGGCACAATCTTAGACAAGAAGACGTTTGGATGGAGAAAGGGGAAGAGGAGAGGAGAGGTTTTATTAGGATTTGACAGCATCTATTCATTGTCTTCCATCATCCATTTTTCTTCCAGAATCGTGGGGTTTGAAGAGGGATAACCATCAGCTGCTTATTCATTCACAGCGATCGCATTGATGCATTTTGTGAATGGTGCATTGAGTTTGCGATTGTGTGTGTGTGTACTTGTATGTGTGTGTCCTAGGCGGTACGAACAAAGCCCATTGTTTGGCCATTGTTACCCGCTTTTGTCTGACCTATAGTTGATATTCCCGGAGGCTAAGGGATACATGGACAGTCTGTTTCCAGAAAGTAAAGCCTCGGGAGAGCTTCCAGAAGGAGAAAGACTGAAATCAGGACTAAATATTCGATTTGGTGAGTAAAAATTGGGTCTGATTTGAGCATATACGGTAAGCCGATACACACGGGGAAATGTGTGGTAGTTGTTACGATCGGCCGTCCTCTCTCGAGCTAGCTGCTGAGCTGAGTGCCTGTGTATTGAAGTGGCATGTGTTATGTTTATATCCATATTTAGCGGGGCTGACGAAGTGGTGTGCGAATGCTACCGGGCACCGTTCGGCTGCTTTAGCCAGTGAGCGGCGCTTCGAGGGTATGTGCATATGTTGGCTTAATAAAGGCCATTGTTTGCCATGGATGCGTCAGCGTCACTCCCATATTCATTTTGTGTGATCAGCTAGAAATTTGGCAAAACACAAGAGATTTTCATTCACACTCACACTGTTCTTGTTAATAATTGGTTTCTTGTCTTTCTAGATTCTACTTTGGAAATTAATTTTGTAGACTAGATGAATTATTGCTCGATGGGGATTACCATCTGGCATGGGGTTGCATGTATGATGAAATAAAAAAAAATAAAGTAATCTAACATCAATAGTCAATACTTTAACTTTACCTTTACCCAATATTCTGAAAGAATGCTGAATTAATGCCATTTCAATTCATTTAATCCCATGTTCCTCCATTAATTATTTCATGTTTTCCTTTATAACCAAAGTTGTACATACAATGTAGTAATGACGTACATCGTTGTACGTGTACATGTATATGTATGTATGTTTATTTTCATAATCCATGTAATAATACATTTCTTGCTTACCGTATGACTAATTTTTGATTAATTGTTTATAATCCTGAAACCGTAGAGACAAGGTACAAACCTTGGTCCAGAGTGGCAAATATACTGTAGATTGATGTCTTGTTAAATTGTGTGTAGTGGTGGTTATTTTACCTGACTGCTAAGAAAGCATTTAAATGCTTGTTAGTAAGCAACCAGAGGACCGACAGCTTTAGGTCTCCGAGAGACCTGGTAATGAGGATTAATGCCTTACCAAAGGGCACTAGCGCATCGACTTGCTTTTGAACCCGGGTCGCCGAATTACGAGACCACTGCTCTACCAACTGAGCTATCGCGCCTATTATGAGAACCATGGCGAGACTTGAACCAACAACCTTCACAGTTCACACTTACTCAGTCTAGTGCAAACCACTAGATCAGACCATACTACCTGACTAGGCCTCTCTTTACTATCTCGAGATTGCCAAATATCCAGCTATTTGAACCATCCCGATCGCAAACTATCCAGTTAATTTGCGTCTTCATCAGAACAAAGTAGCAATTAGCGGGATGTTTGGTCGGGATTGTCATCCCATCTTGGGATAGTTTGCAAAATATCCCACTATTTGTCTGGTGCGTTTTCACCAGACCGAAGACTTGCAATATGCGCTGATGCTGAGCAAAATATCTCGAGCTAATTTCTCAAGGTCGAGTTTCAAGTTCCGAGGTCGAATCTCGAGCTGATGAAGACGCGATTTGTAACTTCAGAATTATTTCCCAAATCAGAAATAGCGGGCTATTTGGCAATCTCGAGATGATGAAGACAGGCCTACTGAGACACTTGTATGTACTTGCAAGGTCATACTCAAGGCAACATACATGCACACTACTCTAGGTATATACAATGTTTTCATATATTTCTACTACAATTTTAAGCTTATTTGTGCTGGTCACGACTTGTATTGTTTCCCTTTAATTTATCAATACATTTGTTTCTGTACAAGTACCTGTTCAGTCTTTTTTCCCCTTTCTTTTTACTCTAAAAATTGATTATTGTGCACATTTGAATTGTGATTATGTGATACGTGTATTGTACAGTCAATAAAATAACTTTAATGTCACTGTGAGAAAAACTCACTTAAAGTCATTTACAGCACCAAAGACCCATGTGTTGGCTCAGTCAGTAGAGCCTCCGCCTCACAACCGGGAGGTCGTGGGTTCGAACCCCGGCCGCGTCATACCAAAAGACGTTAAAAGACGGGAGTTGCTGCTACCTTGTTTGGCGTTCAACAATAAGGGATAGAGCAAGGTCGATCTGGCGCTGCTCAGTGGCTGCCGGGCTCACAATCAAGTGGGGGAAAAAGAATTTTTTTTGAAAAAGTATTTAAAACTATGGAACAATGAGAATCACAACACAAATTGCCAAGATGGTCATCAGTTTGTGACGTCATGTCCTCACTATTTATCAATTGTTTTATATGTAGTTTAATCCCATGAATTTCCCTTTTTATTCCCCTAAACTTGATTTCCTCATGCCTTTGCCCAGGTTATATGATTTGTATCATATTGCGTGCATAACATTTCTCAAATCTTTTATGAACTTTTAAGAATTTATACTATTTCCTGAATATTGTGTATTCATAATTATTGATTTTTATATAAATAGTTTATCAAAATTCACATTTTTCATTATTTAACTGGAAAAAATTACTCTATATTAGTGCATCCACACAAACACATATTACTATCAATCTAACTTGGATGCTGGTGTGAAGAAATAAGATTCTTAGGGGGAAAATAGGAAATTTATATTATCAAGAAAATAATTAGTGGATAGTGAGGACATTACGTCACAGACTCATGAGTGAGTTGCCAATTTGTCTAGTGATTTTCAAGTTTTTCATGTCATTAAAAATTCATAACTTTCTTATTAGTTATCTGATTTTGCTCAAACTTTTTATGATTGGTTAGTCTGATTTTTCTGCTTCTATTGAAAGTAAGTTATTTTTGGAGTGGACTTGGGCTTTAATATACACTGTAGCCCTGGAATGCAGCATTAGTGACCTCTATTGATATTTGACAGGGAGTCTGTATAGAGAGTTGACCACTAAGACAGGTTTGACTATATGATGGAAATCTAATATTGTGTATGATGTGTTAGCATGGTTGTGCATTCCATGGCTTTTATTCACAGTACTACATATTCGCCTGTACTGTATCGAATCTAACTGGAACCTTGGTAACTCTTAATTACTTCCCGTTATGATGATCAGCAATCTATTGTTCTATCCTTACACCATGCCCTGCTATACCCCTGGATAGTCTCTCTATTGTTTCAGGTAGTCATCCTAGTCTGACTAACCAGACCAAAATACCAAAAAGCAAATGTTCAAACCTAGTGTCTTTCTATTGTTACATACTGTATTAACATCATAGTCTAATTATAACCAGACCCAAATACCAAAACAAAAAAGTTCAAACTCGTATCTGTTGTCAGGTAGGAATCTTAGTCTACTTAAACCAGACCCTAATATCCAAAGTGAAATGTTAATACTATAGACTCTAATTATGTTTCAGGTAGCCTACTAAGCCTAGGCATCTCTGTAAGTTTAACTAGGCTGCATTACTTGGCCAGGGTAAAGGGTACTACTAAATAAATAATATTTCACTTGGAATACAATTTAAAGCAATCTAGGCCCATAGTCATAGATTTCATGTGAACCTTAAACAATCACTTTTGTTGCCATAGGGTTGGAAACGACAGACTAGTAGTATTGTTTTAGACAATCCTAAATAAATTCCTATTGTTTGGTCAGCTCATAGATGACTGGATAAGTTTATAGGCATCATGTTAGTCTTGCTTCCATCCTACTTGTATCATTACATACGAGTTCTGTACGTGTACGTGTAATATGCGGTTTATATTAGAGAGAGAGAGGAAGAGAGAGAGAGAGAGAGAGAGAGAGAGGGATGTGGGTGTGTGTGTGTGTGTGTGTGGATGAGAGAGAGAGAGAGAGAGATATTATCACTAGTCAGTCCAATGCAATTTGTTTTTTGTTGTTTTGGGATTGGCTTTAAGGCAATTCAGTCAAAAATGACTATTTTGGCCTTGTTCTTTCTAGTTAGTGAGATTTTAGGAATAAAAATATTGATTTTTGTTGAGTTGGTAAACATGAACAGGTGTTCATGTAGTTTGGTATAGCTTGGATGATGAGATGCTCATGCATTTACTTCACCTGGGTGGAGAGTGGTAAATGTCAATGCAATGTTTTGCCAGGGACATTAATGTTGTACTTGCAGAAGCCCCTGTATTAGGAGGTTTACGACCTGGGGGATGTTTCACAAAACTTGTCATCAGTGACAAATGACAGTTTTTGTTATAAGCTACTGATATCCTTGCTTCTGATTGGTTATCAGCAGATTTGTCACTGATTTTTGTCAGTTGTTATTGAAAAAAGGCTTTGTGAAACAGGTCACTGGTGTTTGATCAGCTAAACCACAGCACCACATTACCTCTGATATCTGTGTGTACATCAGAATTGCACATTGTCTACAACATATACAGTACAGCTCATTGGTATATGTCATACCTGTACATGAACTTGCATGTATCCTTGTGATACATGGGAGAAGAATGCCTCTCTTTCTGGTGAAAACCTCCAGATTTGTCTAGCCTAGCCTAGTGGCTAGCGCATGGTAAGACAAGCAGTATTTTATCTAGACTATAGCGTCCCATTGTCTCCCTTCTAGAGGTGAAAAGAGATGACCTTACTAGCTGACCTTAAACCAAGACACACCAGTCTTCATTTACAGTCCTCTAACCCCAGCAGAACTCAAGGTCAAATGGGTGTCGAATTTAAGGTCATTCTTTTTCAATTCAATGTTTATTATTAATTACAAATCATAAATACAGGATAAATAATAGGCTAGGATCTCTCAGAAGCAACTTGTGCTAGTGAATGGGGGCCCTTATGAAGGTTGGCACAATATTCAATAGGCCATTTTCGTAATGTAACCAAATATAATGCATAAGTCTTTGTGAAGTGCCTCAATACAGATTATTTATTTCACCTGATAAGAATGACAATATTTCAATAGTCAGAATACAAACTGCACATATTAAGTGTTGCTAGGTAGGTCAAGCCATATTGTTTGTCCTACCTGGCAACAATTAATGTATGAAGTTCGGATTTTGTCTATTGAAATACCATTATTCTTATCAGGTGAATGAAATAATTTGTATTGAGGCACTTTACAAAGGCTTATGCATTAAATTTGGTTACATTACGAAAATGGCCTA